ATATATATATATATAAAAGACCTAAACAATCAGCATGTCATATTATGACTTATGACTAGATCAGAATATTGAAAATATGTTGGCACACACAATATAATAGAAAAACACTGGCTTACTGTCTGTCCCATATGGGAAAAAACAAGTAATTTTAAAAAGTATCACCAGAGAAGATAATTTCAGAGAATAGTGCTGTTTTATCAGAAAGTCTATTTGTGAGACATAAATCTCTTGCCACTTTGCAATGCAGGGTTCTGGATTGAATTCTTTGATCCCCAGGACCGTTGGCACATATATATAGGCATTATCTTTTCAAGCACATCTCTGGAAAGCGAATGCCTCCAGTCACCAAGGATGCGCTTCATCAAAGAAAACTGCTTTTCTACCTCGGCTGTGAATGATGGCAAAACAAAGATTATATGAGCCAAATGAGACAGATTGGGAACTTCCCTTGCTTTTTCCAGGATTAAACTTGTCTTGTTCTCATTTAGAGGTATTGAACCCTGACTTTCGGAGAGAAACATAAGCCACTCTTTCTTTATTTTCAGTGTTCAGCATCCTTGGTGTTGAAGCACAGTCTCATCATAATGTAAATGAGCTATCAAGTCATCCAATCTGTGTCTCACCATATTCTTTCAGCTCATCCATTTTGTCAGTTTCAGGCACACTTGTCCAGTCAAATATCCTTGCACTCTTCAAAACTTTATCTTCTGATGTGCCAGAAAATCTTTTTTTCAAGCACAGTACCAGCTTATCCAACACATCTTTCATGGTTAGCTTGTAATCATCACACTTGCACTTTCTCTCACATCTGCAGTCTTCTTTTTCGTCCAGAGCTTTTTTCAGACACTGATAAGGTTTGGTTATCATTGATGTGAGTGTGTTTGCACTAGCTAGCCATGACAAAATGGACAAAAAGGTCAAGCAGAGCACTGTGTGACTGAAGTTTTGATGAGATTTCAGACCCCCTCCCTCTCTCTCTCTCTCTTTCTCAAGTGTATCTTAAAAATAAAAAGATAAATAATTTCCCCCATTCCGGAGTCCCATACTTCGCGGTGTTCAGACTTCGAATGAACTTTGACGTCCCCAACAATCGCGTGCTCAACGGATGCCATATCTTGTGATTAAGTTGCAATGCCTGCGCGCAGGTTCACTGATCGGTCACGGTGGCAAACCCCGACAAGACGCTTATATAACTTTCTTTTCTCTTTCTTTTTCTCAATTGACAGCACGCACAGGACAAATATTGATTTTCAAGGCGTTACATTTTTTTAAAAAACCCAAAAACAAGGGCACGCCAAAAATTGCAGCGGTTGACCCTTTGGTTTTAAGGGCATTACAGCAAATTGCAAAGGCACCAAGGCAAATTGCCGCTGTCTATTTCAAGCTCTGGAAAGGTCCATCTTAACCCTATCTGTACGTCATGTTTTACTATTGTATCCATACGACGTGAGGAACTCTGTGCCACCAATTTCAAAGACTAAATTTACTCGTTAATCTGATCCGTAGGCTACGCTTTGCATAGCAGTCTGTCAAAATGATTTTTTTAGAAATACTGAAAGCTTCAAAGAGATCTTTGTACTAGAAGTATTCTAAAATGTGAAGAATACAACCTCGGGGGTACAACATGACCCCAGAGTGTTTGGATAGTGTTAACTAAAAAAAATTACTTCTCATGCTGAAAAAAAAAATGTCTTTGTTGCCAGGGACATTATTATTTTACATCATAAATACAGATTTCAACTCCTAATGTCACGTTTCAATTGTCTTGCAAAATGCACTTGTTTCTTATTTTGTTTTACTTTTAATTTTCCTTTTCTTAATAATTAAAGAAAGTAAGTAATGAGTGAATGAAAGCACATGTATTTTCAAAGACAACACAAAAGTGACTATCAGATCTGTACAAAATAAAAATGTCTGGTCTCAACAAAGAAATTTTCTAGGCTTAAGCCTAAGCATTATGATTGGCTCTGTTTGCGTTGAACTAGATTATATTAGTGATGAAAACCTGAACCTACCGATGCTTTGTTTTCTCGTGTCGAATTTTGTTGCTAATGAAGGCAAACTTTTGCCCACAAAATGTACAGGAGTAAGGGAGCTCACCTGTGTGTGTCCGCATGTGAGCTTTTAAGCTTGCTATTTGAGAGAACTGTCTCTCACATGTTTCACATTCGTACAGTTTCACCTTAGAATGTATGGCCATATGAGCCATGAGTCCACCTTTAGACAGAAATGATTTATTACATACGCCACACTGCCAAGACCTCTCACGAGCCTTCCTTCTCATATGAGAAATGAGAGCATTCCTCTGTTTGAATCTTTTTCCGCAATCTGTACACTCATGTTTTCTTTCCTCAGAGTGGGACAAGTTGTGTCGGTTCAGATCTGACTTTGTTACAAAAGCTTTGGGACACAGTTCACAAGAAAATGGCTTTTCCCCAGTGTGAATATGCCTCCTGTGGCTTACCATGGAAGCTGCATCACTAAACTTTCTTTCACAATCTGGACACTCATGAGTCTTTATGTCAAAGTGTGTTTTCATGTGCCTGATCATGTTGCCCCACAAGGAAAAATACTTTCTACACTGTGGACAAGGATATGGCCTAATTTTTGAATGAGTTCTTGCATGCCTTCTATATGCATGTAAATTGGGCAACTTAAGCATACAACCATCCTCAGGACATTGTAAATTAGAAGAATTCTGAGCAAAAGCAATGCCTCCATCTCTGTGCAGTTTTTGGTGATCATTTAAGTATGTCTCATCACCAAATGTTTTGCTACATTCAGAGCAGTTAAATATTTTCTTCTCAGATTTATTTTCCACCCCACCATTAGACATTTGACTTTCTAGATTGGAACATTTTGTTTGCTTCTTGTTGCACATCATTCGATGTTTTTTCAGTGCTTCAAATGATGAAAGAGACTTTTCACATGTAGAACAGTTGTGTGTCATAATTTTCCCATGCCTTCTGCGTTCATGAGTTCTAAGACCAAGTGCATTACGGAAATTTCTGCCACACTCACCACAAATAAACACTTGATCAGCTTGATGCAGATGCTTAATACTATGAGAAGCTAATTCTGCAGGAGACTCAAAACAGGCATTGCACTGTTCACAGGCATTGGCATATGGATTAGATTCTTTGGAACTGAGAAAGTTTTCATTGTAGTTCACATCTCTTCTTTGTCTCCTGGTCTGTCTAAAGACTGAAGGAAGAGCTGTTGAAAGCATACCCTGGTCAGATATCGGTATGTCACTTTCTTTCTCCTGAGTGCCTTGATGGTTAATATTTTCAATTATTATAAAGTCATTGCCTATGAGATTAATATCAGCACCACTGTCATTCACACTGTTCTCATAGTCTGTTCTAATAAGAGCATTTTTCTCCCTTTTTCTTTTCTTCTTCTTTTTCTTTTTACTAAAACGCACTTTGGTAAATATGTCAACACTATCATCGGTCAAATCAATTACATCACTATGTGTTATGTCACTGGAAACATGTGGTTGACATATTACATTGTCCTCATCGCATGTCTGTCCAGATATATGTTGCTTGTCACTAGCATTATGGAAAAAAGGAATGCTTTTGCATTGAACAGTCCTATCTTTGAGATCAGTCATCTTGGTAGCTTCAAGCCGCCTTCCTTTCCTTTCATGGCCAAAGGCTGGTTTCACTGAAAAACGAAACAAACAAAAGGTTAAGAAGGGGACCAACTTAAAACATATAAGGTATCACGGTCAAACCTCATAATACATGTGCCACTAACCTTAGGACAAGCAGACAGTTGACAGTACAGTGAGGCTGACAGTATCAGGGGAGTTCTAATGTTGTCCTCTGTTTTAAATTTACAGTATTTCTGCCAACATCAAAGGAAATAATTCTGTGATCTGTGTTTGAAAAGTGCCTCTTTGTTGGTGATACTTAAAGTTAAAGCTGAGAGTCTTTTCTTTGTGTGTGTGTGTGTGTGTGTGTGTGTGTGTGTGTGTGTGTGTGTGTGTGTGTGTGTGTGTGAGTGTGTGTGTGTGTAAAAGCGTGTGCATGTGTGATTGTGTGTGTGTTTTTGTGTCATTCTGTAAAGTCTGTTCGCACACTCACATTATGTGGACATGCCTCATTATGTTGACATCTAATCTAAGGCTGCTATCGTATTTTCCGCCATTACATCATGTGTTAAAATGTTCTAAATTTTGCTTCCGGTCTGAATAACCCTGTGATTTCACCATGCTTATACATAACGCTACACACACTTCGAGTGTGTGCAGAATTTTTCGAGTCAACATAACTGCAGTAACTTTCTGAATTGTGTATCACCATGTGTGTGTGTGTGTGCGAGGGAACTTGGCGGATCGACCTACGAGTTGGGAATCCAGGAACCTGCTCTGCTGAATATCATGGAGCAGCGCTCTTTAGTTAGTTTAGTTAGTCAGTTTGACCATGGGCTCTGTGAGGTTGGCAGAGGAAGTGCTGGCCGATTTCATGACCAGCGAGACTACCCTTGCGTATGACCAGCCAGGGATCAGAGTTACAACTAGTGGGCAGACAGTCTTTTAAGGCTCCTGAAATGAGCAGCCATTTCGCACCTTGTACTTTGTGGATGGTGCATTCCTAGAACCAAGTCAGGCACTCCTTGACGAGGGTTGCGTGCTGGCCGTGGCAACTGGGAGAGCAAGGACTAGCCTTTCATACCTTTTCAGGATGCCCGGTCTTGCCATAATGAGGACACACATGTCTGTATCACAACTGGCTATGGCCGAACTTCTGACACTTGAAACTGCACAGGGTCGCACATCCAGGTTCAAGTATGATGCCCGAAGGAGTGCACCAGAAGGCAGCTTTTGGACGTTGGTGGAGATGTATCCCAGTGCCTGCTTTAAAGCATCTCCTGTCTTGAAAAGGGTTAGATCTGAGATCTTCATCTGTGCATCAGAGCTTCGGATGGTCACATACGGCTGCTCTAGACGTTCCCTGGAAGGAGGGAGCCCAGAAACAGCTGTAAAGGTAATTTTTCTTTGCTCAACTCGGCGGCCTCACTCACTTCTGCGATCCAAGACTTTTTAGTAATGTTGGGAGCTGGGGATGGGTCAGGATGTTTTTTGGATTCCTGGTGTGTTGGAATTTTTTTTTCAGTTGCAGGGCTCCCAATAGCATTCATCACAGAGCTCAACAGGGGGAAAATTGATTAGATGACCAGAGCTGAGCCAGAGCTACACTGGAGTTATACTCTCCACAAAAGTGTACAGACTCTCCTGTCAAGATTGATCCAGGGACAGACTGAAGGGGTTTCAGCTCCCAACCACTCACAACCAATTGAGTAATTGAGAGGCATGGGCCGTGCCACCCTCCCATCTAAGAGGAAAACATGGGCCAAAGATATGTGTTGGCGAAGGACAGTCCGCAGACCGATCTTGCCTCAACAACTAGGTACCCGGTTTCCCTTCGCAAGGGTCTCACCTCAAGGTCTACGAGGCGCCCACTCTGTGGGACTGACGACCGCTAGTTTTGCTGCACAAGGGGTCAGCGGTGGAAGAAATGATAGAAGAAGGAAGAAAGAATGGAAGGAGAAGAGGAAGATACACCATCACCAAAGAAGATGCTGCACATGGATCCCAGAGGGTGGGGTCCACGTGAGACATTTCATTATTGGAGGGGTTTCACCTCCTGTAGAAGTTACAGTGGGTCTATGTACCCTCAACCCATGAGTGAATTAATAAATGTTACATTGAGTTACATGACACCCAATACCCTTATAAACCATTTATGTTCAGTAAGTCCCAATAATGGACCATTTGCGTACTTTTGTGCAAAAGGTCAGGAGGTCATGAAGTCCACCTTAATGTCCAACATTAGTAAAAAAACAACCAAAGGAACTAAAATTTTATATGTTAGGTAGCTTCAAAAAATTTGATGGAAAATGTATTTGTATCAAGGACTTACACTGCAAATAATGAACGATTATGCTAACTTTGGCTGATATGGGGTGTCCACATAAATCACATAATGTAGGTAGTAGAAGTAGTAGTAGTACAGTAGTCTCCGCCTAAGATCCCGGTGCTCGGGAGCAAGGAAATGCGGGATCTTAGGCGAACCAGGATCTTAACCGATGAACCCAGGTAAGAATCTATGGTGACCCATGTTAAGGCTCACAATCGGTAAAATGGTCTCCCTCCTCTCTACAATGAACTGACGTGCCCCCTTGGTAGGTTTATGGCATATGACGAGCAAAGAGTGGCTAACCTTGATGACCTATCATGGTGCATAGTGGCATGAGGCGTGCCATTTTCACTTATAATCCTATCATGAGTCTCAAGATCTACGCTTATCCAGTTGCCCCTCCTCTTTACCTGTAAAAAATTTATAGCTTTCCATCTCTGACCGAGTCCCCCCCCCACCCTTCCAAACCGCCATTGTCGTTACACACCATTACGTTGTGAACCCACCAATTAAAATTCAGTCTGTCTCGCAAATTCGGGAGTACAGACAACTGCTGCAATGGTCAAGGAAGAGTTCACGGTTCGATGTGATCCTGCCTGGAGCGAACGTGTAGGCCCTACCCACCCAGCGAGGGATGCAAGTTTAGGTGGCGAGCTCAGGTGTGAGTGTGATGCGTGGGTAAAACAAACGCGTCGGTCAGTTCACACCTCGGTGTGATCCCGTCTGGGGCAAACATTGTATCGCTTCATCGAGTTTTACAACGTGTATGTGATCACATTCACGATAGTGGTTGATCTTTGACGCGACGGACAGTTTATTGATCTCAACTTTTCACTCTAGGTTGATCGGCTGTGCCCGCCCGGGTTTTTGTTTAGCAAATTATGATCTGAAATGCGGGATCTTAGCCGAATGTAGACCATCAGAGCGGGATCTTAGGGGTGACTTTTGTATAGTAAAAATTCTGTTTTCCTAAAACAACGGGATCTTAGCGAACCGGGATCTTAGCGAACCGGGATCGTAAGCGGTGGGATCTTAGGCGGAGACTACTGTATAGGGTTTTACGGCGCTCGCAACTGCTAAGGTCATACATAATGTAGGTGAGGCAATGTTCACATAGTGACCTCGAAACATGTATATGTGTGTGTGTGTGTGTTCATAGAAATTCCAACAGAAATTTATCTTATATGTCTGTGGAACCAAACATTGCCATATTCTAGACACTATGCTGCAATGCAACTTTCTGCTCATATTCTTAAAATGATAAAGAACACTTGGATTCAACGAAATTGAAGGTCAGGCCCATGGACTTCATTATAATATTATAACCGAGTTTTACTGTACAAACTGCCAAAAACGAATCTTTTTTTCCAGGTGAGAATCCTACTAAGGAGATTTGCAAAACCCTGCCGGCATGCCATCTCGGAAGTCATCAAGCTAAAATAATCAAAAGGGTAAAAAAGCATAGCATAATCCTGATTTGTGCTGACTATGAAAATGCTATTATCTTGAGGCTTTGGTCACTGTTGTAAAAAAACTGGAATAAAATTTTAAAGTCACCTTGAGAAATTTCAAAGGAACAGCAACACCCTGGGCGGTTGGCAAAAAATTATATGGCACTGCCAGATGTCAGTCCAATGGCCTTTTTATATTATAAGGACTCATGCTCAGGTCTACAAGGGACGTCCAGAAAGTAAGTACCGTTTTCACATATCTCTGAACTGGGTTAGGATATTCCCGATTTTGCACCACAGTGAGTTGATGTGCTCCATACTGAACCGGAAAGAGCCCTCAGCTTCCATCTTGCCATTGTAAACAACAATCTACAACGCTTGTAAAACATCTCATCCAGTTTTTTCCCCGCCAGTTTACACAGCCACATTTTGTATCAAACAACCTACACACTTTTGAAGCTTCTTCCTAGATTTAAAATTATGCTGACAGACAGTGAAATCGGTCTGTTATTCGTTTTCTGACTGCAAAGAACACGAAGCCTAGCGACATTCACGGACAGATTTCCAAAGACTGAAGTGTATTGTGAAAATGCAATGGGTGAAAGCATGGTGCGGAAATGGGTTCGCATGTTCAAAGAGGGACGAGAAAATGTGCATGATGAACCCAGGAGTGGGCGTCCATCTTTGGTCAGTGATGATTTGACAAAGTTGACATTAAGATAAAGGAAGACAGGCGTTTTACCCTTTCCTCACTCTCCTCAAACTTTCCTGAGATCTCAACGTCGCTTCTGCATGACATCGTCACTGACCATTTGGGTTATCGAAATGTGTGCTCACGCTGTGTACCCAAGCAGCTGACACAAGCACATAAGGATCGACGGGCTGCCAGCGCATTGACATTCCTGACACGTTACAATGACGAAGGAGATGACTTCCTTACTCATTTTGTGACGGGGGATGAAACCTGGTTGCCCCACTCCACGCCCGAGTCAAAGCAGCAGTCGATGTAGTGAAAGTATACGGATTCGCCCCAGCCAAGAAAGTTCAAGTAGGCCACGTCAGGAAAAAAAGTAATGCGTGTTTTGGGACATGCAGGGAGTTCTTTTAGTAGAATATTTGGGAAATGGATGACAATTGTGAGGCGGCGTGGTGGAATCAGGCTCTCGTCAATTTTTGGGCATGTAGAGTTATTGGTATCATCTTAAAGCTTTTTCACTTGCCTTTAGTTGGATTAAAAAAAATATCCATTTATCTTGAATATAAGTCGAGATAATTGCAATTGAAGGAGCTG